ATGATCACATTGATTCGGAAATTTTGATCATTGGTAGTGTAATGCACTTTCAGGTATCACAAAGAAAATTTGCTTAGTACAAATGATGTTTGAAAACACGCAGTCAAACAAACTATCAACAAATGGAAGTGTATCCCATGCGCTGATAAAATAAGATAGGTTAACTGTAAAAATAAAGACAACTAAAGTTAACAAGTACGAGATAAATAAATAAATATATATATATATATATAATGAGAATGCGCCATATATGTTGAAGAAAGCTAAACAAATAGGATAAAAAACGCTTCACACAGTTTCTTGTCTTCATATTCTTCTTCTTTACATATTCTCAAGAAGGAAGTAGGGGAAGGAAATGTAAGTTAAACGAACAACTAGTTCGGGACATAAGAACCACTTGCAAACAATTTTCGCCACTAGTCATGAAGACTATAATCAATATTTGAAAGCATTAATTGAAACAACATGATAAATGCAAGCATTTCCTCACAAGTGAATAAACATTTTTATATGAGGTTTTGAAAACCAAAAAAATAGGAGGATAGTTAACATACCTTGTGAACTATACTGTTGTTGATACCCAGGAGACTTTTTGGGGGTTGCAACACCTATGCGCATGGGTCTGCTTGAACAGTAGACTCCATTCATTTCAGTTATGGCACTTGACCTCTCATTTTCATCGTTAAACCTAACAAAACCATAACCTTTTGAACGACCAGTATTTGAATCAATAACGACTTTAGCACCTTTAACAGAAGAAAATCTGCTAGAAAACGTTTCTTGCAAAATTGCATCAGTCACATCTGCAGCCAAATCTCCTACAAATATAGATAGATCGGAACCAGACTCTGATCGCTTTTCACCAGCACTGAAAGTTGCCCAATTTAAACGGAAGGGCTGCTCTGTGTTTGGCATCAGTGTGCCGTTAAAAGTCTGCAAAACTTTCTCAGCTGCTGCACGTGAATAAAACTCGATAAATCCATATCCTTCTGACTGACCAGTTTGTTTGTTGCGTATAACCTTCACTGAGAAAACCTGCAGAGATATTGATACAACAGTCTAGAATCAGAAATAGAACAAAGTGCAGGAAAGCAGGTGATGCTAAGAAGAGCTTAGAGAGAACAAAAGCATAAGGTGAACGTTGTTAGTTAGAGCCTGTTTAGTTGCATTTTCATTGCTTTTAAAAAAAAAA